ATCTCAACTGTTACCAAGTGAGTTTTGTTTCTTTTTGTAACTTTTGCCAAAATCGGTCTTCTTGAAAACTTCCAAAGTAACAGCCTTCCACATAACAGCCTTCCACATAAACCCCCAATCTAGGCTAAAACTACAAAATCATTGAAGGAGAGTTCTTAAGGCCAAAATGTCTCCAAAAAGCTTTTAGTAGACTTAATGATTTGTTACTCAGTAACGAACTGCATCTTCCTTGACCTCCTTGTGCCCTACCCACAGTGCTCTTTTAAAGCAAGTTAGAGGGGTGCCTGGGTGACTCAGTCGGTTAAGCATCTGCCTTCAGCTCAGGTCATGATCTCAGGGTCCTGGGATCGAGCCCCAGATTGGGCTCCTGGCTCAGTAGGGAGCCTGCTTCTCCCTCTCCCTTCTGCTCATGCTCTCTCTCACTCTCTCCCAATAAAATTAAAAAAAAAAAAAAAAGAAACTTCTTAAAAAAATAAAGCAAGTTAGAGTAATCCTTTCAGAGCTGGAAGGGACCACTGGGATCATTTACTGCAAAGGTCTTATTTTAGGATGAAGAAACTGAAGCCCAAGGAAAGGTAAAGTGAGTTCTCTAAGGTCATGCCGTTACCAGGAAGCTGAGCCTGACCTTGAACTCCAGAGAATGCCAGGCAAAGGTTCTTTTCATTTCACCGAGTCCTCCAAAAATACAATGATCAATTTTTGTGTGCGGTGAGAACATTTAAATTCTGCTCTCTTATGTGAGCTGACGGATATGTTAACTAACCTTATTGTAGCAATCATTTTGCAGTATATATGTGTATCACATCATCACGTTGTACACCTTAAATATACATAATGTTATATGTCATTTATATCTCAATAAAGCTGAAAAAGATACAATGATCAAAAGTGTTTCATTGCACTTAAAGAATTCAATGTATGCCCCATGACATAAGAAAATCTACCTAATGTCTGCTTGAAAATTATCATCTCATTTCTCATTCCAACTACGCACGGAACGATTCATGCAGGATAGCTGTATTAGAGAATCTTCAGTGGGTATATTCATTTACATAAATTGTCACTTTCATTTTCTATTTCTTGAAACTGAGAAACTTCAGATAAATGTAGATTTAGTTTTCCTACCCCAGACTCTCTAAACCATCATTTTGAAATCAAATTACACAGCTTATGCTTAAAACATAAGGGCCAGATTCTATCTTCAAATACACCGCCCACTCTCTAACAGCAGAATTTGGCCCTAAAAACCCATTAACAAATATTGTCATTAAACTAAAGAGCTAATTACTTTGGATTCAGACAGAATGAACAAAATCATAGGCCAACCGCAGCTGCTAGTAATAATGGTGAGACTAACCGTATGTTACACTGGAGATTAAAGAACAAAGACATATTAACACTAATGTAACCAGACATATAAAATTGTCCTCCAAATGGAGGAAACTGCTATAGTTGGAAAATTCTTGAAAGCACATTGGAATTATCCGATACAAGAAATAAAGGATATTTCTAAGGAATTAATTGTCATAATTTGAAGTTATCAGTGTTTAATGAAGAAACTGAAAATTTTAGTGTATTGCAATATCCACAAATGAAGAGTCATATCTAAAAATCATTTTATCTAATTGGAAGTACTATCTTCATATTTAGATCAGTTTAATACTACAAGATGCAAGAGCCTTGCTTTGCGGCTATTTTTTTTTTTAATTTTGTGACTGGCTACTTTTACTTAGCATTAGATTTTCAGAGTTCATTCATTTCATAGCTTGTACTAGTGTTTTATTCTTTCTTTTTTTTTAATAGGATAAATTATTATTTTTATTTTTTTAATTTTATTATGTTAATTACCATACATTACATCATTATGGCTATTTTAAACAAACGTTATCAGGACTACCTTATAGTTCTATAAAAGTAAATTTCCCAGATAACTGAATATTTTCCCAACCCTTGAAAAATATTTTCAAATTACATTAATAATACATAATTTAGAAAAAGTTTTACATACCCTGACAAGCAATAAAAATCAAACATAATTTATCAGTTGAGCATAACCATTAATAATATTTTGCTATATATCATTCCACTTTTCTTCCTATGCATCTGTCGTTCTTTTAATAAAAATGGGACCACATCAAAACATGGTTTGTAACTTGTTGTTTTCATTTACAGTATATTATGAGCATTTTGTCCACACCAATAATTATACTTTTACTACAGAAATTTTAATGACTTTGCAACTTCTTAAATTGAGAATAATAAACACATTTTAATCTTTTCGGGTATCTCACAAATATCATTATTATACTGTTTCATAATAACACTAACACTCTCCAGAGATTATTACCCAGCTAAGTCTCCTTTCTCCCCTACTAAATGGCCCCAGATGGCTCTACTGTTCTAAAGCTGTATGTGACTTTTAGCTCTTTTTCTCCTTCAATATCAGATTTCCATATAAAGCTGACCAAACCTGAAGTAGACCTAAATTGGCTGTTTTCATTTTTAGATTAATGACATGAAAGATTATCTACTGACAATGAAAATAATTAACAATTTTAAGTTCAATTACACTAATAAGTACTCAGGTATTCTCTTCACTTCTTCAACCTTCATCTAGGATGAAAAATTTCCTTCTAAACTTCCTTACCCAAGAAATCATTATTGAAAAACATTTGCTTAGTTTGTCTTGTTAAAAAGTCACACCTCGGCAGACTGATGTTGACTGCTCTTTGTATTAATACAGCAAGTTTAGAAGAGAAAAAATGCAATTATATATGAGGGGACCAGACTAGAAGATCTTAATGGTCCATTTCTGCTCTAAAACTTTATGCTGCTATGCTTTAATAAAGTTTCTATAATTTATTCTTTTGTTGTATATTTTCCTTCCTGAGTATGGAGGCTGTCTCACTCAGGTTCCCTGAAATTACATAGTAAGTTTTCTTTAGGGAGTCACAACTTAAGATAAATATGCCGATGATAATGAACGTGACTCACTTGAGGACACTATTTCATTCTCTCTCTACCTGCTCCTCTTCAAAGAAAAAAGGAAAAGAAAAAAAAGAAAAAGAAAAAGCAGAAGAGTAGTTTCTATGTTTCTCTGAAATAAAAATATTACAGAAGACTTGCACTAAAAGCTTTATTAAATATTACTTGAGAACTTCTTTGAACCATAAACTTGTATGGTACCTATTTGAGGATTTTACAGTTTGGGTACTACAAATTTTAGGATTTTATCGTCAGATGTGGCAGTGAGAGCATTGCCTATTGAGAACAATACTGACAACAAATGCATGTGAAAATTCATTATTACATTAATCTAATTCTGTAAATCTATAGATTACTTGAAAAAAGTGCTACCTTGTTTTATGCATGTCTATATTCATTTTCTTTGTGTAATACTAATAACTAATATGTGTTGCTAATTGCCGCCATGGGGATATACTTTTTTTTTTTTAAGATTTTATTTATTTATTTGACAGAGAGAGACACAGGGAGAGAGGGAACACAAGCAGGAGGAGTGGGAGAGGGAGAAGCAGGCTTCCCACTGAGCAGCGAGCCTGATGTGAGGCTTGATCCCAGGACCCCGGGATCATGACCTGAGCCGAAGGCAGATGCTTAATGCCTGAGCCACCCAGGCGCCCCTACTTTTTTTTTTTTAATTAAGGGTTTATTTTTGCCATTTGGTATTTTATGGACAAGAAACTTTACAATATGAACATGTGCACACAAAAACTGACAGAAAAAATGTCTGTAAGGCTACAATTCAATCAGAGGATTTTAAAAACCTCACTCTTCACTACAAAATAAAATCATGTTGTACCCTTAAGGAATCATCACAATTTCAGTTCTGAATATGCCTCTACTAATCACTTTTATCACTGGAGCAAAAAAAGCAAACTTTACATAAACTTAAAATTGCACATAATAAAGATGAAATTGCTAAATGAGATAAAGAAATATAATAAAGTGATATTCAATAAATGTGCCTGTTACCTGTTATAAAGATATCACATGATTTAGAAGTTTTTATCCACAAAGGACAATGAGTAGCTAATGATGTGTTAAGTAGATCTGTTCTTTTGAAAATTTAACGCTGACTTTTCCAAATGAAGAGAAAAAGAAAAAAACCTTCAAAAATGAAGAAATGCTTAGCTGACTCTGGTAATAACTCATTATTTCTGTCTTCTTAGATAGTTCTTGGAATTGATCCAATAAGTATAAACATCTGAATAAATTAGAACATTACAGAAAACAGAGAGCAAGCTAAAGACAGCGATGAGCGCATGCTCACTCTGAAAGCAATATAGGGACCCCTGGGATTTAGCCCATCATACCAAACTTGAAAATCAAGGTGTATCAAAGAGAACTAAGAATTCAATTTTGGGGGGGGTCAAAAAAGGAGCACTAATTTAGCACCTCTGTGCTAAGTGTGCCTTCCTTATTTATTCTTGTAGCTGAAGGAAACAAACAACAATAAAACCCCATTTAATATAAAGTTTGAAAATTAGAAGTATATTGTTTTGAAAGCCAACTTCAGCATTACCCAAAGGACCAAGACCCACCTTCATCAGGATCATTTGGGGGCAAGTAAGTAAAAATGCAGGTTGCTGGGTCACATCTGAGATGCAATGAATCTAACTCTCTGTGAAATATGCCCAGGAGTCAGAATTTTACAGACCCTAACCCCCCTCCACGTGATGCTCACCCACATTACAATTTGAGAACCACTGTGATTATCATGATTTTTTTGTGTGAAACTGATTATCAGTTATCAAGTTTACCACTGAACCTTGCTTGTATTTACATTGACATGACATATAATGACTTTCAAAGTTTGCATTTTATTTTCCCTTCTTGGTGTGAACTGTTCATAGATGGCTATTTTCCCCACATTCAGTAACTGCTTTTACTTTTATATATTTTGTTAAATATATTAAATATTCACTTCTGATGTAATTAAGAGTACACAGCAATGTGAGTTACTTCCAAAATTCACTTACCTTCAAATCCTTATGCTTATTCAGAAAGTTCTGAGCATGTGTGATAGAAATTTTCAAGAAGAATATATGCAGTAGATTCTCTAATTTCCACGTATTTCATGGCTGGCCAAGGAGACTCCTGGAGCGGACACCAGAAAAGCCATTGAGAAGGGAAGACACCAATGCTGGAGCCTCTGGGTACCTGATTATCTTTGAACAGAAGAGAAACACAAGTAGTCGGTCACCTGAAATTCATAGAGAATCTGCTATGGAGAAGGTTATTTTCAGTAAACGGGCAGTGTTACTAAATTTAAACTTGGCCTGGGTTTGCTGCTCCCTGATTTAGCACAGATGTCATTTAAAATTTCATGTCATTGTGAAGGCAGAATTGCATGATGATGCTGCCTGCAGAGGATTCTGGTTGAATTCATATGGCTTTAAGTGACTATTTCTTCTAAACACTGCATCAAGTGGTATTACTTAATTTTATTTTTGATATGCAGATGCTAGATTTTGGTGCTGAATTTCTTTCTAAGTCAAGGTTGATGAGTTCTCTTGGAAATATATCCTTACGTGAGCCTCTATCACAACCCATAAAAGATAAAATGTGATACTTTTACAAAATCCCAATGGAATCATCTGGTACTTTTGCTATATTTTCTTTCACATGGGTAATGCTTGCCAAGATAATTAGACATAAACAAAAATAATATCCTTTCTAGTCAATATGTGTTTCCTCCTCGGGGAAACCAAAATTCTAGCACTTTGCTGAATGAGTTAAGCAGAGATTGGTAGGGGCTAATGGAAAAAGAGATTAAAACATCTGATTTTAAAACTGGTAATTGACAATGCAAATATTCTAAAGAGTAGAGAAAGCAACATATACAGATAAATACAAAGTCAAATACAAAGTGACAAGAGTATAATATACATGTAAGCATAGAGTACACTATAAAACAATAGTTTTTCATAGAAGACTTTAATGTTTGGCCACCCAGAAACCATTCCCAACTTTCTTCTTCCTTGCTACATCCCACAAATAAAGAACAGAAAATCAAATCAAATGTTCACTTTCCCCATCCCCCTACGGCTAAGAATGGTTATGTGATTCCATTCTTGCCCATTAGCTGTAAGAAGCTATAAGAAGTATGCTGGGTAAATCCAGGCAAAAATTTGCTTTATCACAGAGGGAGACAAACCATGAGAGACTATTAACTATAGGAAACAAACTGAGGGCTGCTGGAGGGGAAGCGGGTAGGGGGATGGGGTAATTGGGTGATGGGCATTAAGGAGGGCATGTGATGTGATGAGCACTGGGTGTTATACGCAACTGATGAATTACTGAACTCTACATCTGAAACTAATGATGTACTATATGTTGGCTAATTGAATTTAAATTTAAATTTAAAAATTTGCTTTCTTGATGAGAGATTCCTGTCCCTCTTCTCTATTTCACATAACTGCTTGCCTTGAATGATGAGGATGCGATATTTGCAGGTAGAGCAGTCATCTTATCATCATGATGTAAAACACAATGAAAATCTAGAAAAACACAAAGGTATAGGTCCTCCGTTGATGAGCTGCTGAACCAACACTACTAACTGCTTCCTTGGAATTCTATTTGTTTACACTGCTGGGTTTTCTGTTGCTTGCTAACAGAATCATTGCAGGTTGAGAAAGTGTTGAAAAAGCATTTGTTAAAAAGTAAATGCCATTGCTATAATTGTAGTGATATCTATCTTTTTACATTATTATCTGCAAGTTCTCATTCTGTGGAGTCAAGGACAGCCTTTATTAGGCTGGTTGAGGTTGGAACTTGCTTTCTTTTTTACTTCTAGGAGAGCTGTACATGTGGGGAATAATGGATCACAGGATAATGGTAACTAATTAGAATAAAATGAAATGGACAGCCTAGTCTAGAGCTGGGTTTGGAGGAAGAGGGTCCAGTATCATGGTTAATAAAAGGATCTCATCTTTGCTTTAGTGCCAAAGCTATCCCATTAGTTGAAATCTCAGTGGAAGAGTTTGAAATTCCATTACAAAATTCATTCTTAATATCTTGTGACGTCCTGTGGATTCTGTTTGAAATATTGTTCCATCCATCACTTCATTACTTCTTTTCATCAATATTCATCACAGTCTGAGCTTTCACTATCTCTTTCCTAGACTATTGCTATAGGCTCTTTAACAGATTCTCTTCTTCTTATTTTTCTTAAACATTCCAGTGTGTCCTATAATTACTTTAAGATTTAACTTCTTAAAACATTTCATTAGATCCCTCTTCTGTTCAAAATATAAGAGCTCCTTTTGGTCTATTGGATTAAGTCCAAGGTCCTTAAATCGGCATTTAAGTCTCCCCATAATATAGATATAATTAATAATAAAATATAGATTCTTCTAGATTTCCTATCTCCCTTCCCTAACACTCTACATGGTTTGGTGGGAGGATATGTCTCCACTGCAGAGGTGCACCTAAGTAGCTTAAGATAATCCATCTATCTCAATCTTTACCTACAATTTTAGGAATAAGCACATGACCTTAAGAGGTTAATGATCTCCATTCTGGGGTCTTCTTTGACCTATTATGTAAAAAAACAACTTTTGCTTTTCTTGCTGGACATAAGCATGTGATCATGTAACATTTGGAACTACTGGCAACCATCTTGGGATCATGAGAGAACTTGCCACAACTTCAGTCAACACCAAGGAAATAGCTGAGAAATAGAAAAAGAGGAGCTGGGTCTGAGCATGTTGTTTCACCCCTGGACACAGTTTTGCTTGTAGGTAGAATACTCGTATGTGTGAATTTATAGACTCTTTTTAAAAAATTATTAGTAGTAAGCCAATCTGGGTTGGTATCCTCTATTACTTGCAACCAACAAGAACTTTGCAATGTATTTATGTTTTTGTGCATCTGCCATTTCAATCATTCCTACTTCTCTCTTATTTCTATTCTTTCTTTAAGAAGATCAAGCCCTCTTCCTCCATGATACATTTCCAGATTCTTCTAATTCATAGTGAGAGAACTCTAATTTAAACCATGTTATTTTTCATTGTATGTACTAATAAGAGCACTCACTAAGATATATGATGCTATCATTTCATTCTGACTCTCAAATCTTCAGCTTAACATTTTCTTCTCTTATCTCCCGATTTTTATTTCTAACTGAATAGTTGACATCTCAACTTGGATGTCTTGAAGGCTCTGCAACCTGAATCTTTCTATAACCAAACTCATAAAAACCTTCCTCTCAAGCACAGCTTTCCTCTAGTTTCCCTGTTTTGTTTTGTTTTTTTAAAACACCACCATCAACATCAGTTGGAGAAGCCAAAAACCAAGATCTTCAACATTTTAAAACGGAATCAGAGTAGATTTGATTCTTCTTTTCTCCTTCAGCCCCAGGATTTGATCGTCAAGCCCTTTTGATTTTATTTCCTAGTTTTCAAATCTACCCACTTTGTCCATTTTCTCTCTATGTCCTCTCCATATTCTCTCTCCTGCTCCACTACCATCACCAGAACCACTAAGACATTATCTGCTGCCTGGAATGCTGCTTAGACTTTTTTCTTTTTCCCATCTCACATTTTGTTTCCCTCCAATATTTTTTCCTTGGGGCAGTTAGAGTGATCTTTTAAAAATACACAGTGGAATGTCAGTCGTTTGTTTAAAAACCTTCAATGCCTTCCCACGGCTCTTAGGGTAAAGAACAAGGCCATATCACCCAATCCCTACCTAACTCTCCGGCTTCATCTCCCTGGAGGACAGTGACCATTTCTGTTTTTAAATACACTCAAGTTTAAAAAAACCCAACATTCATCAGAATGTTTAGCACATAATAGGCACTCAATAAATATGTGTTGAACGAGTAACTGCCTGGCAGTAACTCTTGAACCATGAACCACACTTTGTCATTTTTTCTTGTATATTCTATTTTCTGTGTTACTTGTAAGTACATTGAAGATAAAGAAGTGTCATGTTTCTCTGTAACCTACAGCAGAATGCTATGTGAGTAGGAGGAGTTCAGAAGGTATTCAATTACATTGCTATTGATATTTCTACTCTGATTTCCTTTTTAAAAGGTTGAAGTTCATTTTCTCACACAATGGGTAGTTATCACTTGTCTATAAGATTAAAACTGAATAAGGGGAAATTTATTAGGTGCAAATAATGGAAGTAAAAAATAGAAAACTTGTTTCCGATCACAATTCTATGGAATTTGCACAGGTTAATTATAAAGGACCGGTTTTTCTGCATCACATGGAAAAGCTTCACATAAGCCCTGAGTTATGTGGACAAACATTCAAACATGTTTGTAATTTTCACTGTCATTTTTTCAAATATTTTATATCTTTCTTTAGAAGTCTTTACCTTTGAAAAATAAAAGCAAAATTCAATACTTTAAATAATTAACAGCTGAAGTCTTTTTTGGGTAGAGACTGATTTTGGAAAATTAGGTATCCCAAGTACAAATTAATTCTTAGTTATTGGATATTTACCTGAAAGGGTAAAAAAGAATTTCAGAGATTCAAAGGTAAGTATGAAATTTTAGCCTATGCTATAAACTGATATTACCCAAAATCAGAGAAATATTTCTTAGGGTAGCCTAAAATGAGAACACACATGAGCAACCCAAAAGCAATGAAACAGGAAGACACAGGGATGCATGCTTCTCAAAGGCTTCTGACTATTAGCTGTGGCCAGATAATGTTTTCCAAGTTGGGGAATGACAAATGGAATTAGGATTGAGGAGAGCTAAAGGAGGAAAGGCCAAGAAATACAAGAGTAGACAATGTGAATTTTCTACCTGAAAAAAAATTCTTTTTTTTTTTTTTTAAAGGTTTTATTTATTTATTTGACAGAGAGAGCGAGAGAGCACAAGCAGGGAGAACAGTAGAGGGAGAGGGAGAAGCAGGCTTCCCGCCAAGCAGGGAGCCCGATGTGGGGCTCGATCCCAGGACCCTGAGATCATGACCTGAGCTGAAGGCAGATGCTTAACCATCTGAGCCACCCAGGCGCCCCATGAAAAAAATTCTTGAGCAGGTTTGACCTTCTGTTTCTTAAAAATTAGTTGAAGTTTGCCTAAGGGATATTTATACAAGAGATAATTGCCTTTGGGTTTCTACAGGCCTGTTGTTCAGTTATAAATATCTTCTAGTTTTCTCAGGATATTGAATCTGTTAGGGAGTTTGTAAAAAATTTT